TTGGGCGGCCGGATACGGGCCTTCGGACAACTGTGTGTGTGGTTTATAATTGTTTCCATAAACGTGAAATTACAGAATGATGAACGCCGAAGAAAAGAACAACATCTGGAATCGACTGTCCTGCTTCAATGCGCCTCACAGCACGCCAGCGCTCAGAATCTTCCATTCGTCTTCTGGAAAGAAACACGTATGTCTTGAAAACAAATTGTACGAAAGTTTTAAACACTTTTTATCAGCACTTACAATCAACTTCTGTAACCCTTCATAAAGCTGGCTTCTTATAAGACTGCCTTTTTTGCATAATTCTTGACATGAAATCGCGATTGACTGTTACCTAACATATTTGCATACTTCCATCTACCTCTACAGCGGATTGCATCCTCTTCAAATCTGATTGGATTCCGGAAATTAGCCTTTTCCTCTCCGTGCTCAACTTTTGGAAGTAAGTGTATTATAGAACATTGAATACTGTCTAAGACGACAGCCCAAGAATCCAGATAATTTTGATATTCTGTGAAGCTGATCATTTTATAAAGCTTATATTAATTATTCCAAATACAAGTTATTTTCAGAAGTGGTTGCCTCGAAAGGATTTACTGTAATCTTATTCCACTGTAATGTGAAGCTATCGTATTTAGTGTCATTAAATGATAAATTTTTCATATTGAATTATCCCATTTGTGTTAAGTGCAGAGAGCGCAGATACTTTAATTAATAGCTAGTTAGTGATGTCTTCCTTCACAAATGTAAAATGTGACTGATTTACTCCACACAGATTAGATTCTTTATCAATTCCAAGAGTAAATCAATTTCTTAAATTAAAGTCCTTTTTCTGGAAGAAAATTGTGTATAAGCACGCACGATGCGTTAGCTGCATAGCTTTACAACTTTAGAAAGTCCTGAAAACTAGGTAGCTTTTTTTTATTTTTGTTTCCATTATAATAACTTACATATAAACATCTTTATTTATCAGTTTCAATAGCTTTTGTTCTTTGAGTTCTTCAGGTGAAACGGTTTTCTTTATCAGTGCTGCGCATTTTGCCTCGTATAAGGGTGAAGTCTCAGATGACGAATTTGATGGCATTTCCTTTTTAAAAATTTCACTCAAATGGTCGATGGATCGTATGGATGCATGACAGACGACAAAACCTTTTCAGATGCAACTTTTATGTTACACCGTGCTTCTTTACATCAGCTTTTTTTTTTGTGTGTGTGTGTGTGTGCCTTCGTCAATGAGCTTTAGTCTCGTCAGTTCAGCTTGCAATAAGCTTTTAGTCTTGTCTGTTTTCATTTTTTCTAGCCATTTCTCAAACATGGGTATTTTAAGCCAAGCATTTCGGAAGATGAAATTGAATTTTTCATATTACTCATAATCTACTCTTTAGAGTTTAATCACTTCTTTTCTCTATCTCACAGCAACTATAAAAATATATGAATTTTGCCCGCTTACTCAATGATCGCCAAAAGATTGAACACGTAAAAACACCTGCACCTACCCCGAAAACTGATTGTACCTGGTCTATGATTTCAGGTTTGACGGTTGCCAACTACTAATTAATTTTAATAACATTAATTTAATTTTATTATTTTAACATATCGCTTTGTTGACTTTTATTTGAAACACTGTAAATGGTTTCTTTATATATTTTTGTATTTACCTTTTTTTTTGTTTGTGTGTGTTTTTTCCCTTTGTGTATGATTTCATTGTATTATTGAAAATTGATGTTATTACTTACGATTTTGCCTTTTTTACTTACAATTTGTAAGTCTCGTGTGATACTTTGTGGTGCACGAGGATTTCTTTTTCTTTAAATAAATAATAATAATAAAACTTATCGCTTTACGATATATTGAAAGTTTTTCAAAGTTGCAGAAAGTAGTACAAGGAAATGATGAGTAGCAAAAAATTTCGCAAAATCGAGTCCACATAAATTTTATAGCACAGATTTGTCAAAAGTAGCAAATTTGCGAAAAATCGCAAATCTGGCAACGCTGATCTAGTCTACACACATCTGTAAGATTCTGCTCACACCAAAAGCAAGGTCCTCAGCGTTTAACAGAAGGCCTAAATTGTCAGAGAACAGCATTTCTCTTCACAAATCTCTTCAAAATCACACCTCCACAGCGCACAACAAACACAGGTTAACTATCCCAAAACGTTTTTGATTTGAAATGTGTTATTTTATTTCGTTTTATTTTTTTTTGGTTAACTTCCATACTTTTCAATTCGAGTAAATGATGTACCATTTATAAAATAATATACTGAATAATATGCATGCATATAATAACTACGGCAGTTTCTTACGAAGTTACATTTAAATAATTTGAAAAATCAACTTACGTAAGAGTTCTGAGATGCATAACTTACGTAACTCGCGGGATTATTGTACTGTTTTCGTGGGCAAGCCTTGTTCTGTAGTTTCATGGCATGTCATAATGCGGTTAAAGAATGGTTTAGTTTTATGGCTAGAAGCAGGATAAGCTTGCCATCATGCAGTTTTCCTTTTTAATGTCGAATTCATCGGGTACCCAAACTTACCTCCCATTTATTTTACTAGGCTGATGGAGGTGAGTGATAAGTTCTTGTGAGTGCCCCATTTCTTTGGCTGATTTCCGAATGGTTATGTATGATTCGGTTTCCATTTCACATTGTCGACGTTTCTTATATCACTTGCAGAGGTAAATCTCCGACGAAATTCATAGACCTTGCAATGGATATTGTGATACTTATTCGCCAGTATGTTGGCTGATGCTTCACTTCCGGCCCTTTTATGATTTTATGATTCTGATTTGAGTCACATATTTCACCATATTACGCTAACTTTCTGTGCATCCCCACTGATAATCTAGGCTGTCACCAAGACTTTGAATTTAGGTGTCCCTTCATCGGACATTGTTTACTTCCAACTTCTTAAATACCGTACAGAGAAAATGCCAAATAATTTGTTTTAGGATATTTCCTTTTTGTTATATGCACATCTAGCCCACACTTAATTTTTTGCTAATGAATTTATTTAAGCTACTCATGCATAAATAAAATTCTTTGGATTTTTTAATTTAAAGGTTCAAAACCGAAAATTTAAAAAAAATCAGAAGCACTCAGAGGCGTTTATTTTAGTAAAATGTAAGCAAGATAATGTTCTCTTTTGGTCTCTGAAAAAATAGTTTTGAAAATCAGTTGCACTCAAATGTTAACCAAATATATGAATTATTTCTTAAAATAATTCTAGATTTTCTCAGTTTATTATTTAAATAATAAATTCTAGATTTTCTCAGTTGAGAAAAAACCTCTTTAACCTTTTGCGGGTGTAAATAGTCTTGTAAGTTATAGAAGAGATTTGCGCGAAAGTAAAATGCAGAATTATGTGGTGTGTGAGAATGGGGGGGGAGGGTGATTAGGTGTTTGTAAAAGTTCTTGGGAACGCAAATGAATTTAATTTAATGTTAATTGATAATTCTGTTTGTATGGCGTTTTATGAATTTAAGGATGTACTTACACACTATTTTAAAATTCATCCAAGTCATTTTAGTAATAACGCTGAGATAAGCCTTTTAATTTTTATTAATCAGTCTAAGCTGCATGCTGACCTGGTTCTTCTTGGCTTCTGTCCCAGTCATTCGCAGAGACGGTTATGTAAATTTAAATTAGACACAAAGTGAAATTAAACTGTGAGGTATCTCATCTGCAGTTCTACGTCGCTTGTGAATCTCACGCGTGTTCGTGATTTCTGGCTGAAATACGCATTATGGAAGTGAAGTTGTTATCATAAGTTATTATTGTCAGTGTCTTTGAGATGTCGCTGAGAGATAAATGGAATTAGGGATTTAACTGCTAGTGTATAATTTCTAATGTGTATTCATATCGATCAGATATTGACACCCATATATTGTAGAGACAGCTAACCTATTCTGCATATGTGTCACAAATATCCGAATTTTTTTTAACATTAACTTTAGTATGAATCACAGGCGATGGGACTAAAAAATTTTTAAGAAAACTTATACAGAGTTTTACTCTTCTGATGAAGGAAACTTGAAGAATCAACGATAACTTCGTCGGAATTTGAACTATGGATCTTCCATTTGCCAGTTGGACATGCTAACCTGTTATATCACGAAAGTACGCCCTGCGGAATCCGCTAAGTTCTTACAAATTGATAATGAACTGTTGGCGGTTTTCATTTATGGTGCAGATAGTAATTCGCCATGACTTTTGCCAAGTGTCGCAGTAAATTACTGGCTGCACCAGGAATAAGAAATGCCAATAAAACTAATTACTAATTTAGGAGCTCAATTCAAGTTCTTTAGTCAGGGATGAAGAGTATTTTAATTAACATGTGCAATGCATCTTTGTGTTTATTACAGCTAAAAACAGAATTATTAAAGTTACTGTACGCCACTAAATGCTTTTTATTTTAAAAAAAGTAAGACTGCTGTGAGAACAGACTGAGTCAGTTGCGAAATCTATGGAGAAAACATTGCATTGTATAATCGAAAAAATTCAAAGAAAAATATTCAAAAATTTGAAAAGAAGGTAATGACATTAACGGCGAAGCATGTTCAGAAATAATTTGAAATCAACAATTTACATATACCTATTTTAATTAAAAGGAGTTCGTCATTCTGAAGAAAAGGTTCTGTATGCTGATAATGAAAGATATGACATGCTTTTATTTCTCTCAATTTATTATGCCAATTTGTAAGCTTTAGGAAACTAATGATTCTTTTAATGGCGCGCACTAGCCATTTTAGGCTTTAGCTGGTACTAAAGCCAGAAGGGGTGGCCATTTTATTATGGGGGCACCTAAAAGACGACTACCGTTGCCTTCTATGAAGGGACAGACAATTTACAACCATGCCTTCTTCGCGATTCAAACCCGGAACCTTCAGTACGACAGTCAGAGTCACTAACCACTTTCCCGTCTGGGCAACAAACTAATGATATTAAATTTGCTCTAAGTTTAAAAATTATTTACCCAATTTATTTGTCTTTTCTGCAGCTGGTATATTATTCGACGGCTCTGGAACTGCTGAAAATTGTCAGACATCGAAAAATGAAGAAGGCATCTGCATTCCTCTTACAGAATGCAAAGAAGCCATGGAAAAACTCAGGAGAGAAATACCTCGTATTTGTAGATGGATCGGGGACATGCCAGTAGTTTGTTGCCCTAAAATTTCAAAGCCTAGAAAGTTAAGTGTGCCTGGTGAGTATAGATCTTATTACAGTACATATGTAGTTTATATATAAATGTGAATATTCTGTCAATTATGTTAAAATTAAAAGTTACAAAATTGGCACACGTTTTTATGAATTCAATTTTATCTGCAATATTTATTAAGTGCTCTTAATTTGAATAGTTAGATTTCATTTTGATTACTTCAAAATGAATTATTACCTCTATGGATGTTTTCTATTATCATCAAATAACTTTCATAAAATCCATTTTGCTGGGCAAATTTTCCTTAATTTATTCTTGCATAGTTTCACTCTTTTAGTCTCTTATTTTAATTAATCGTACTTAGTTAATCTAACTGTTTCTTTCCCTATCTATTGAATTAGCAGATCAGGCGTCGATTAAACAGAAGGCGAGCAAGCAGTGGTGAAGCCCTAATTTTAACGCAAAGGGTTACAAAATAAAATTTTTAATAAGTTATAAAACGCAAAATAACGAGTTAAAAAGACCAGAAATATCTCATATTCTCGCTTAAAATATGCTAAATATTTTCATTCCTTTAAAGCATCAATATTCGTAATGATTTGTATCCGCTTTGGACCTCAGTCTCGCTAATTTTCGTGTAAAGGCAGTTGATATAGAATTGGAAAGTAAACAGATTTTTTAATAACAAACTTTTTCTCATGCCGTTGATGAATATCAATTGTTACGTTATTAATTGTCTTGAACTGTTGCGTTCATAAACTGATTCTTCAGTACTCTTAAATTCAGTGCCAAATTAATCATATCGGTGTTACCGTTTTAAAGGAACACTCGACATCTTCTACTCAAGGAATTTAAAAAACGTTTGATTCATTAGCAGTAATCAAAAGTGGAAAATCAGTAATTCTCAGTTACTGATCTAAATTATATGCTCAGATCATTAAATCATTAACTGTATTTAAGACCATTAGCATATTTTCACATTCCATTCAATTTTGTGTCTTTGTCAAATTTAAGTAAAAACAAATAAAATAAAAAAGGCGAAAGAAAAATAAGATTATTTTATAATCTTTTACAAAAAGCCTTTTTCTATTAGGCTTTTTGTAATCTTTTACAAAATGCCTAATAGAAAAATCAATTATGCAGTATGAAGAATAAAACGTAGCTTTAATATTCGAATATTCACAATTTTCAAACAGCGTTAATCGTACAAATTTTGTTTGTACATAATATAAAAATTATTTTATCTATAAAACTGTTATAGGTTGTGGCACACGAATTGTCAGAGGATTAAATAGAATGGTCCGACAAGTTCCTCGAATGATTCCTGCAATTCCACCAACCAAATCGGACAAAAAACCAGCAGTAGCCGGAGGTGTAGAATCAGTTGTTGGAGCTTGGCCATGGATGGTAATTTTATTCCGGGAATTATTTTTTATTATTAATAAATTCTTTCCTTAGTTTTTTTGTTCAAACTTATATACTATTTCTTTATTTTACGGAAATTTTTTCAGCGTCAGCTGTTATTTACCTCTTCAGCTATAGATACTATTTATTGATATGTGGATGTTTCCAAAACTTATCATATCTGACCATTTGAGCGAGCTTTCTGTTTATAGGATATAGTGTTTATTTTAGTGATATATTTCTGTTTATAGGATATTATAGATTAGGCATAAATGCAAATAAAAGATTTTTTTTTTTTTGAAACTGAAACAATTGAACAACGTCGTACTAATGTGCACTATTCCTTGCATAAGCTCATCATCATATTTCTTAAAATAGTAGAGTTGCAAGCAATGATTTTACTAAGGCATACGCATACCATTCAATATTAAATACTGTAAATAAATTAATTACAGATAGATTAAATTATAGATAGCCTGAAAGTCAATTAACTTTATTTTAAATTTATGAAGTTCAATCTAAAGTTATAAATTATTTTGTTTGAAATTGATCATAAATATTTACTATTTCGATTTCGATTTTTATTATTTTTCTGCGCAATAATTCGCTAAAAGGAAGAATATAGATCAAGAGAGATGTTTTCAAACGCTTTTGATGTTTTTTGTTTACTTATTTAGAATTCAGGATTCTTCTGGACGTTTATAAAATCACAGAAAATTTTGTATTTTAATAACATAATTTTTTAAACAATCCATTTTTCTGTTTTCTTTAGCATTTTCATTCTTTGAAAATGATCAAATGTTTGTGTATATAATAAACTTTGCATCTTAATCTTCGTTTTAGGCTGGCATCTACACAAGGAATTTCGGAATCGAAAACTTCTTATGCGGTGCAGCTGTCATTAACGAGAAACACCTGGTGACAGCAGCTCATTGCTTCCAAACAAGCGGGAGAGGGTAAGTAAACGTGTATATACACATTTAATGCGCATGTAAAATACATAAATGACAGCTTAAGAATAAAACGTTAAGCATCTCTGAATAATAGGTAAGGAAATGACGTGAATAAGAACAAAGAGAATGACAAACATGAAACTAAAGAAAACAAAAATAAAATTAAAATGGAATAAACGAAAAATCATACAAATGTTTTACTTTTCGTTTCAAATTTGAATAATATATTACGTTGTTACCTAATGCGAGTAGCCTTATGACGATTCAATTTCGAGACTTTTACCACGTACCTTCGTGGTGTAACTGAAAGCACGTATGATTAGTAACCTTATGACGTTGCGTGGCCCCAACTTGTCCGCAACAGTAGTAGTGACTGCTATGAACTGTAAATTATACAAACTCGTAAGAAGGGTTTAAATCCCTTTTTATTTCACTTTAGAAATCACATTTGCGTTCACTTGACGCTCACAAACTACGCCGACCCGGCGGTTAAACCAAATAGAAAAGTACAACTAAAAATAAATGACAGGATGAATAAATAACGAAGTCACTATCTACGAGGCTCTATAATCGTGACTAACTTAACCGCGTTCTAAGATACAGCTGAGATTCAGCAAACTTACCGATTAAGAAGTTGAAAGATTCAACGAACTGCCGAAATAGGAACACAGGCCGAAACGCGCGTTTCTTAAAATTTCTACCTAGCAACCTTCACGCTCGCGATTTAAGAAGCATACTTACAATCTCTTTTCCCTTCTATTTAAACTCAACTTACTTCTGCTAAAATTTGAATAGACTGCGCGTTCTACTACAATTTACATACTCTGGCATTGGCAATTCCAGGGGAAAGTAAAGGTTTGACAGGAAAGATAGCTTAAACTTAAAATAAATGTTAGTGAAAATAAATATAAACCCTACATTTGCCGCTGCCAGAATTGGTAAACTTGGAAGCAGGTCCTAGAAACGACCTGTTGAAAAAGTTTCCATATTCTGATCTAAAACTCATAACATTTCGGAACAAAAGAGAAAAAAATTTATAGAAGATTTTAACTTATCTTTGAGTTTTCGATGCTTGGAACTCCGACATCCTCTTCTGGCAGAATTGATCCCAAGTTATATAATTCATAGAAGTCAATCTCCGCTTTTGGGTTTTTCGAGTTTCCTCCATGGTGACTTTTCTTTTTCGCCCTCTGTACGCTGGCCTCTTGGGGTGGTAGTCTTCGAGTTCCTGTCTTTTCCGTTTTGCCCCTGGACGGCTGGTCTTGGCGGCTCCGGTCTGGAATCGTGCTTGAATTTCTTCTGTTGGTGGTGGTCTTTTCGTTCCTCCTGCTGTCTTTTTCTTCTCGTGAACGGCGGCCTTGTTTACTCCTGACTCTCTGGGCCTGGAAGTGGTTTCCTCGACTCAAATTTTCTACTGCGGGCGTTGTAACTGGTCTTTTCCTATTTACCAAAGATTCTTTACACGGCGGCGTTGATTTCTTGTATTTCTTAAATGCTGGAGTCTGAACATTTTCCTTTCTTCTTTTCGGGACCCTAGAATGACTTGTAGAAGGGCTAGGTTCCTCTTCTGTTCTCTGCTTCTTGGGTGGTGGAGCGGATGGCGTTAATTCTGGCATTTCCACTTCTTTTCCGCTTGAGACCTGCAAGAAACTTTTAAGGATTTCAAAATCATTTTGATTATAATATTTTTTCACCTGGGCGGGACTTGCTTTACAGATTTCCCCTCTCTCGTTCTTAAGGTACAATACGACTCCCTTGATTTCCTGTATTACATAGGGGCCTTCAAATTTTGGAGCCAATTTTGCAGTGAATGGGGCACTTGATAAAGAAAATTTCCGCTTTAACACTTTATCCCCTACTTTAAAATCTGCTTCACGGCGTTTACTATCATAGTAAAGGTTGGTGTTGGTGTATTTAATTATGGCAAAGCACACTAGGGCTATCTGCCTAAGGGGAGGGATGCCTTTCGTGGAGGACTTTCTAAGGGAAACTGACTCGTATACACGTTACACATGGGGAAAACCACGAAAACGCCCATGCAGCCAGCCCGTTCGCGGGATTCGAACCTCGGACCGAACTACCAGTGTTCAGCGACTTACCGCTCGGCCGCTGGTGGGCCTATCATAGTAAAGTTTCTGTCTATTTCTTGCCGTATCCGAACTTTTTAACCGCCTGATCAATAAGTTTCTGTATATCTTTTTGTTTGAATTCTTCCTCTCTATGTTGCACAAAGAATAATTTATCTAGTGGCGTAATTAACTTCCGTCCTAAAAATAATTCTGCTGTAGTTTTTCCCGTAGTATCATGATTTGCTGTTTTTAAAGCATAAGCTAATTCATTTATGTAGCCATCCCAGCGCTTGTGATGTGTGCTAACATAACTTCGAATTATTTTTACAATATTTTTATTAACTCTTTATTAACTTTTTATTAACTCTTTCTGCGATGTTTGCCTGTGGTCTATACGGAACCATTTTGATATGGCGTATGCCAAGTCCAGTGCAAATGTTTTCAAATATTTGGCTAACGAATTGTTTACCGTTATCGCTAATGACTTTTATCGGTGCACCGTATTTTAAAATGTATCTGTGTAAGAATGCATCTGCGACTGTTTTGGCTGACGCGCGTTTAAGTGGAACAATTTCTGTCCATTTTGAAAAATGATCTACAATTACTAAAAGAAAACGATTTTTATTTAACTCACTCTGGGGGAAAGGACCAAGAAGATCTATGCCTAAAATTTCATTCGGAAATGTAGCGCGAATGCTATTTAAGTACCCGGCCGGGCTGTAATTAATATCATTTATTAACTGACATTGATTGCAGGACCTGACATACGCAGTTACTATTTTGTATAATTGCGGGAAATATACCGCCTCGCGTACCCTTTTTATAGTCTTTCTGACCCCTAAATGACCCGCTGTTTTCGCGTCGTGTAATTCCTTCAAAATGCTTAATCGAAGCGAGGCTGGGATGACTGGTCTATATTCGAAATTTTCGTTTGTTGCTTTCGTATAAAACAATAAATTATCTATTATTTCATAGTTTTCTGCTCTACTTCTTATTGCATCGATATCTGTGTGTTCAAAGCTTTCGGGGTCTTTCAAATACGCATAGATACTTCCAAATTCAGGATCAGCTTTCAATTCAGCAATAATTGTTTCTCTCTAGAATCTAAAATTTTTGAAGTCAACACAGCGCATTTGAGTTCATTGCCTTCATCGTCCAGTTTTATTCGAGATAGTGCGTCAGCAACATTGTTTCCTCCTACCCGGTTTATATTTAATTATTAGATTATATTCTTGAAGTTTTAAAGCCCATCTTATTAACCTGGGCGTTAGGTTTTTTCCCCGAGTAAAGTCTACCAACAGCCGCATGATCCGAAAAGACTGTTACTGGCGCTTTGCCGAAATAAACTCGAAATTTAGCCATTAATACGGCTAATGTTTCTCTCTCTGTAGCTGTATAATTCCTTTGCGTAGAATTTAAAGTTTTACTAAAAAATGCCAAAGGATGGCCATTCTGCATGAGAACCGCACCTACGGCATAGTCCGACGCATCTGCTGCAATTTCCAGGTTTTCGTCCCCTTCCGGGAATTTCAAAACAGGGGCATTGATGAGTGCTTCTTTTAACCTTTCAAATGCAGTATTTGCTTCTGCTGTCCACGTAAACTTACTTTTCTTTCTTTTAATTGCTAACAACGGTTCAACAATGTTCGCGAAATCTTTTATGAACGACCGATAATAAGAACATAACCCAAGGAAAGAAGAAAGTTTCTTGGCGGTATTGGGAGGTGGGAAATTCTTGATGGCTTTTATTTTTGAATCCTGAGTTTCTATACCCTTTTGCGAAATTTTATAACCCAGATATTTAAGTTCTTTAGTCGCGAACTTGCATTTTGATGCGTTAATTGTAAGACCGGCCTCTTTTAATAATTTAAAAACCTCTTCCAAGTCTTTAATGTGTTGTTCCAACGTACTACTCGTTATAATTATATCATCTAGATAGATTAAAGTCGATTTTCCTAGGACAGGCTTTAGAACAATGTCCATAGCTCTCTGGAATGTTGACGGGGCCCCACACAACCCAAAGGGCATGCGTAAAAATGCATAAGTGCCCGATTTTGTGATAAACGCGGTTTTATGTATGTCTTCAGGTCTCATAGCTATTTGATAGTAGCCAGACGTTAAGTCCAACGTAGTCATGTATCTCGTAGACTTAATCTTTCTAATAATTTCCTCTATTACCGGCAAAGGGTAAACTGGGAACTTAGTAATACTATTAAGCTTTCTGTAATCGATAGCAAACCTCCAAGCCCTTTTATCCGAAGGAGGGAAATCATTCTTTTTCCTACATAGTACGACTGGACTCGCGTACTCACTATTTATGGGCGTTATTATCTGGTTGTGCAGCATTTCCTGAATGTGTTCCTTCAATTATTTGTTCTTTCTGTTTATCATACCGGTAGGGTTTAGTCCTACAGGGTTTATCGGCAGTTAGTTGTATATCATGCGTTACAATTTGACAATTACCAGGCCGTTCTGAAAACAAGTTTGAAAAAGTACTCACCACTTGCTGGATGGCTTGGCTTTCATGGTCATTCAAATGGCTAAGGTCCACCTGCGGTTGTTTCACTGGCTCCACCACCCTCCGATCCATTTCCAGCATAATCGAATTCTCCTGAAAATTCAGTTTGGCCTTCGCGGCCTTTAAAAACTCCATGCCTAAGATGACTGGACTCTGCAAATTTTTGACCACAAAAATTAATACTTTGAGGCTTTCATCTTTTACCTGTATTTTTAATGATAATTTCCCGATACATTGACAGGTTTTTCCTTGCGCCGCTATAATTTCTGTGTTTTTATTTTTAAATAATCGTAACCTATTAAAATTCTTCTTGAAAAATGTATCACTCATAAAATTACCTTCTGCCCCTGTATCAATGAGGGCTTCTACTGGTACATCGCCAACCAGGACTTGTATAATCGGTAATTGTGAATTCT